ATCATTCAGACAGACTATCATTATGTTCTGCTACTCTGTGAAGCGGCAGAGGGAAAACTAAAAGCTACTGATTGTGGTAAAAAGTAAAAAACCTTCGACATAATAACTGAAGGGATAGGTTATAATGATCTCCACTGCCTAAATTTCTGAAAGAAAAGTAAAATTACGTGTTCTACAGTCGCAACAAAAACAAAAAGGAGGAATAACAGCAGGTATCTCTTTGCTTAAGGTACTTCTCCACTACAACTAATAAAAAATGTTTTCTTGAAACTGCAAAACTTATTACAATGTGTATCATACAATAGTATCAGCTTCTGAATGCAAAAGCCATCTAGAATCCAGTTTCATGACCCTTTAAAAGAAAATGTTTAAATACAACTATGTATGCTAGAATGCTTCTGGCACACTCCGTAACCCCTCACCTGTATTCACCTAGATTTTAATTTATTAATTTCTATACATACATGTGCATGGATAACAGAAAATGTGATGACTCATCATTCAGATATTTAATATTTTAGAAAATACTATAAAACGATAATTACGTATTTTTGTATTATATAATATAATTTGGCAAATTTTCGATCTACCAATAAGCGTTTGTAACACAACATTACGATTTTCACGTTTAATTAAAACTGAATATACACAAGTATATTGGCAGTATTCATGACATTGCTTTTTGGAGAGTAGACCTATGTTTCATGCAGCTTGAGGACAGATTTTGTATCATTTTTGATAATTGTTTATGAATGTGTAAGCATTATAATTTAATCTTTATACATTATGGAATTCATGAATTAATTCATGATTAGGAATACGAAGTATCACATGGTTCATTATGCATGTATTGTTATTTTGTAATTAATGTCCATATACTTTAATGTATCATATACCATACTTGATTTATATCATAGCTTAAAGCAACCTTCCAAATCATTCCTTAGCAGTATCCTTAGTTTCCAGTTCAGAACTAAGCACAAATAAACTTTATATCAATAATAAATCTGAAAAGTAGAATTGGTAATAGATGTGAATGGTATATCTCCAACGTCAATGATTCAGTCATTAAAATCACTTTAGAAGAGAGAGAGCAAAAACAGAAATTGTCCATTACAACACAGAACCTAAAGACTCTATTTCTTGAAGCTTTTACAGGTCATCCCAACAGAAGACCATTCTTATGAGAAATACAAATGAACATCGTGAGGCCCGTCGGAACCCACCTGCAGCGGCGTGTCGGGATCGAGCTCGAACTTGGGGATCTTTTCCGACCAGGGCGTGAAGCGGAGGTTTTCCTTCTCGATGCAGTAGTCGAAGACGGTGCCTGAAGACGGGAACTTGACCGTCTTGAACTCCAGCTGGAACCACTTGCTGAACTCAACGCGATAGTCGATGTTCTGGGCGAAAGACGCGCTTGTTATTCATGGCCCTTGTCGAGACACGGCTCAGAGTGATTGTCATTCTCCTCAAACACCAAATGCCAGGGTTTGATTGCATAAATATTACCTTTATCATGAAAATGAACCAAACAGTTGTGCCTAAGGAGTTCCCTCCCTCCCCAGGCGCTACTCACTCCGTCCTGGTAGAGCGCCGACCCGAAGGCCCACACGGCGGCGAACACGAAGTACAGCTCATAGACCTCCTTCGGGCTGTCAGGAGCCACACTCTCCGGCGTCAAGAGGCAGTCCAGGAGCTGACACAGCATCATGAGGTGCGTGATCTCGGGCATGGGCGTGATCCTCTTGAAGCGGACTCGCATGATCTCCAGGCAAGTCGGGATGTACTTGTCGAACAGGACCATGAGGTTGGCCTTCTCGCTCTGGACCTCGCGGCTGTCGATCCAGCTGGTGACGTAACTGGAAGGGGAGGAGGGGATAGCCATGTGAGATTTCGAGGTCAGCTACTGTGTGCTGGAATGGCCAAAAGGATTAACATATATTATTAGTGCGACTAATAGACAGAGATGTACCTTTTTCTCGAGTAAATTGTGTGAACTCAAAACAAATATTACTGTAATCCCATATTCAGGCGTCTTAATGATTTACATTCGACTTCAGTATCCTTTTTTCTAATAAAAAACGAGTTTTAATAAAGCTCAGTAACCCATCGAAAAAGTCAAAAGAAACCCTCTGAAGAACCCTCAAGCCACAGCCCGAGGACGAGGCAACAGAGGCCGAAGGGCACGCACGGGTTCCAGCCCAGGTCGCCCTGGTTCAGGTAGATGATGCCGGCGCGCGACACGGTGGCCGGGGTGGCCGTGCGCAGGTGGCTGATCTCGAACAGGAGGCGCATCTGCGGCGTCAGCGAAATGCGCTCGTTGCTGGCCAGCGTCAGGATCTGGAGGGAGATTCAAGGGACAGGGGATGAAGAAGAAAAAAAAAAAACATTTAATAAAAGTTCAAATGAAGAAGTCATGTTCATAGGAAGTTTGTTGTCATTTGTCATATATATATGTGTTTGTCTCACCTTGTTGTCGTCCATGAGCGTGTTGAGGGAC